ATCATCCGGCTCATCGAACAGGTGGGAGCTTCGGCAGGCGAAGGAGAAGAAGGCAGGGCCCACCTGGGGTGGGAGCAGTGGCGCAGGACCTGTTTGGACCCAGGAACCTCATGCCCCAGCCTTCCAAGTGGGGCCTTTTCAGGCAGTTACATTAGCCTCTGCTCCCCTCATAGGAGCATCCTGGGCATCTGGCTCTTGGCTGAAGTGTGTCAGTTGTTGGGCCTGGGAGAGGCCAGGCAGACCCAGGCCATAATGTGTCCCTCTTGGTCCATAGGCTCGGCACGCCACCTATGGCATCCGTAAGTGCTTCCTCTTCCTGCTGCAGTGCCAGCTGACTCTCGTGGTTATCCAGGTGAGGTGGGGCCCACACAGGCATCACCCCTGTGCTACTCACCACTTCACTCGAGCAGCTGAGAATCTGAGGAGGGAGGCTGGGGGTAACAGCACAGTCCAGGGGTCCCCTAGAGCCTCTGTGAAGCTCCTGGGCTTTCCAAGATGACCTCATTGGCAGAAGAGTATTCCCTCTGGCCTCAGTTCCCTCTGGCAGGATGTGAGCATCTATGTGGGCCCAAGGCAAGGCAGCTCGGGGGCTCCTATGCCCTTATTTTGTGCCTGAATCGAACTGTGGCTCTTGGCTTCTTTCCTACTCTAGTTCCTTTCTTGCTTGGTCCAGCTGCCGCCACTCCTGAGTACCACTGACATCCTGTGGCTGTCCTGCTTTTGCTACCCTCTGCTCAGGTGAGAGGCCATGTAGCTCCCCAACCCCCCACACCCAAGCAGGAGGAGTCTGGATGTCACTGTGCAGCCCCAGGAGCCCAGGGTTCTGGAACTGCTCAGGGCTCACCTTCTCTGATACAGGAGGCATGGAGGGAACCTCCTTTGCCTTTTTTTTTTTTTTTTTTTAGACAAGAGTCTCGCTCTGTGGCCCAGGCTGGAGTGCAGTGGCGTGATCTCGGCACACTGCAACCTCTGCCTCCCAGGTTCAAGCAGTTCTGTCTCAGCCTCCTGAGTAGCTGGGATTACAGGCACCCACCACCACACCCAGCTAACTTTTGTATTTTTAGTAGAGACAGGGTATTTCACTGTGTTGGCCAGGCTGGTCTTGAACTCCTGACCTCATGATCCACCTGCCTTGGCCTCCCAAAGTGGAGGGATTATAAGCGTGAGCCACCACATCCAGCCTTTTTTTGAGACAGAGTCTTACTGTGTCACCCAGGCTGGAGTGTGATGGCACAATCTCTGCTCACTGCAACCTCTGCCTCCTGGGCTCAGGTCATTCTCCTGCCTCAGCCTCCTGAGTAGCTGGGATTACAGGTGCTCACAACTACGCCCAGCTAATTTTTGTATTTGTAATAGAGATGGGGTTTTGCCATGTTGGCCAGGCTGGTTTCAAACTCCTGACCTCAAATGATCTACCTGTCTTGGCCTCCCAAAGTGCTGGGATTACAGGCATGAGCACCGCGCCCGGCCTTTGTCTCATTCCATCCCCTCACCAGACTCGACCTCACGCTCAAGACTCCCTAGAAGCTCCCTCTGTGAGAACTGGGGGACAAGGTTCACTGTCACCATCCCTGTACCTTATCTCTGCTTTTCAGCATCTCGCTGCTGGGGAAGCCCCCCCATAGTTCCATCATGTCTATGGCAACAGGGAAAAACCTTCAGTCCATTCCTAAGAAGGTAAGTGAAGCAGACCCTGTGAGCGTTGCAGGTGAGCATGGAAGGGACTGAGGGGTGCAGGAGGAGAGAGGGCCTAATCTGGAAGGCTCTGGATGGGGACTTCAGCAGAACTGGGAAGCCGGCACTCGGTTCCTAGTCATCCCCCAGATCAAAGAGGAGGTGGCGGCACAGAACTGGGAAAGATCCTTGGTGGGGCGTGAGCTCTCTATCCCCCCAAGCCTGACCATTTACTAAGAGCCTGTTGAATATGTGGAAGAGCCAGGAGCGGCTGGCAAAAAGGCTGTATGCCTCAGGAGTGCCCTGGCCTTGTTCCCCGGCAGACTCAGCACTACTTCCTGCTCTGCTTCCTACTCAAGTTCAGCCTCACCATCAGCTCGTGCCTCATCTGTTTTGGCTTCACACTGCAGAGCTTCTGTGACAGCTCCCGGACCCGCAACCTCACCAACTGCTCATCCATCATGCTGCCCAGGTGGGTCCCAGCCCCAAGAGCCATCATCGCCTGCCTCACCTCGAGGCTTCCTCCCTCCCCACCCCAGCCTACCTCCCTGTGGCCCCAGAGGGGCTGAGCCGACGCCTTGCTTTGGCAGCAACAATGACAGGGCTCCATCCTGGTTTGAGGACTTTGCCAACGGACTGCTGTCGGCTCAGAAGCTCACGGCCGCCCTGATTGTCCTGCACACTGGTGAGGGGGCTCTCTGGGCGGGTGCAGATGATGGTGGGGAGAGGCCCCACTGTGGAAGTTTGACACCACATTGCCCCACTTTCCCCAGTCTTCATTTCTATCACCCACGTGCATCGCACCAAGCCCCTGTGGAGAAAGAGCCCCTTGACCAACCTCTGGTGGGCCGTGACAGTGCCTGTGGTGTGAGTATTGCTAGGATGGAGGGGTGGAGTGCGGCTGGGAAGGAGAGGGGCTCTGCCGGGCAGGGACTGGAGGGCGGGACTGGGGCCAGGGGTTTAACCATGCCCTGCTTGAGCTAATTGTACTGGGAAGAGCAGGGAAGAAGGCAGTGTCAGGGCTCACACGGGGCCTCCACCTCCCGCAGGCTGCTGGGTCAGGTGGTCCAGACAGCTGTGGACCTGCAGCTGTGGACACACAGCGACAGCCATATCCACTTTGGCCTGGAGGATGTGCCCCTGCTGACGTGGCTCCTGGGCTGCCTGTCCCTGGTCCTTGTGGTGGTCACCAATGAGGTCGTGAAGCTACATGAGATTCGGTGAGCTGCCAGCAGGGCACCTCCTTCTGGGCTCAACCATGTTCCATAAACCCATCACTCCTTTGGCGACACTGCCCCCCCCCCCCCTTTCTGCTGCCCATCCCTCCCTCCTCCTCTGCTGTCCTGCCCGGGCCCCTGGTCTAAGGATCTTTGCCAACCTGTACTTTAATCTTCTGCCCTGTCAGGGTCCGAGTCCGCTACCAGAAGCGACAGAAGCTGCAGTTTGAAACTAAGCTGGGCATGAACTCTCCCTTCTGAGCCACCGGCTGTGGTGGCCACAGTTGCCTCCATCCCTGGGGCTAAAGCCAGACCCATTTCTGAACAGGGGAGCTGGTATCATGAATGTTTCCGGGTTTGCTCCTGCACCCGTGGCACTGGAAGCCCAGCTCCCCGCATCAGACCCCGCTGTCTTCCTGAGCCCTGGGGCTTACTGTGGAGCAGCTGACGGGCGGGGCCCTCGGCCAGTCCTGGCTCTTCCCTGGACCTCACCAGAGGCACTCTTGAATGTATGGCCTCAGGTGCTCCCTAGAGGGGCCCTCACCCCCTCACCTGTGGGCTGCCCCCTTAGGGACCCCTTGCCCCCCAGTGCCTCTGCTTGTGGGTCCCTGGCCTTGAAGCGAACCTTCTTTGGAGGAGGAGCAGCAGCAGCAGCAGCAGCAGCAGCCGCCGCCGCCTTGACCGACGTGTCCAACTCCCAAGGCTGCCGTGGAGGGCAGGGTGGTGCTGCATGCTCCCCATCCCATCCTCCTGGGGCAGGGGCCTGGATGTGGCCCCGAGTGCCTCCCCTCTCTCCCTCTGTGGGGGAGTCTCCCACCTGATGAAGATGGAGCAGGGCCCCCGCTTCGCCCTGGAGCCTCTTCCTGTGCCTGGCTCAAGCTGCCTGCCTATGTCTTGGGGAATCTGGCCCAGGTCTCCTCAGCCCCTGCCCCAGTTCTGGGAGAAGTTTCTACTGGTGTATATTTTTTACTGGAAATGAGCCTTTTAGGAATGAATGTAGACTGGTTTGTATTAAAATGTGTCAACTGCTTAAGAAACACCTGTGGCTGGTCCGTAAGGCCACTCCAGGGTCTGCCCACCCACGGCAGTGGCTGGCAAAGGGAGGCCTAAGCCTTCCTCCATCTACACTGGCAGGTCTCTCAGGTCTGGCTCAGGTGAGACCCATGGGGTCAGGGTTCCCCGTGTCACAGAGGCAAACACACAGCCCAGTCACGTGGAATGGCGTTTTCATTAGTGTTAGTTGGGGCAAGAGGTTAATGGTTACAGAGCCAGGGCCTGGGCCAACAGGGTCAGGCTCCCGGCCCTCAGGTGGGCAGCAGGGGCTCCTACTGTGGTCTGAGGCCCCTTTCCCATTGCGTCCTCTCAGGCAGTTAATAGAATAAATTCCATTTAAAATATATGCATTTCTCTCTGCTTAAAAAATAACATTTACAATTGAAAAGTTGGACTTGTGGGATCTGTTAACCCCACTGCCTCCCACCCCTGCCAGCTCTGCCTCAGTGAGGGAAGGCGGGGCCGGAGCTGTGTATTTACATGTCCTCTGTACACCTACGGAGGGGGGCCCGGCCAGACACACGCCTCCTTTGGCCTCTGAGGGCCTGGGCAGCACAGTGGGTGGCAAGAGGCTTCCCTTGGCACAGTGACTTGGGACACAGGCTAGGGGTTACAGAGAAAGCACCCCCAAAGCCCTACCATCCCCCCTTCCTCCCTGAGGAGAGAGCTCTTACCAGGGTCCCTGTCCAGGAGCAGGACTCTTGAATGTATGGCCTCACCCTGGTCAGATCACCCTGGGAGGGGCTTTGCTGTGATGCAGTGGAGGCCCCTCGCTAGTCAGGTTCTGGTAAGGTGGGCTGTCCCACAAGAGCTGCGACGCCCACAGCTGCTGGCTTAGAATGGGAAGGGGCTCTGCTGGAGGGACACTTCAGCCCGATCAGCCCTTGGCCCATCCCTAGGGTGGCAGGGGCCTCTTTTTTTTTTTTTTTTTTTTTTTTAAGAGACGGTGTTTCATCATGTTGGCCGGGCTGGTCTCGAACTCCTGACCTCAGGTGATCCGCCTGCCTTGGCCTCCCAAAGTGCTGGGATTACAGGTGTGAGCCACCGTGCCCGGGCTTTTTTTTTTTTTTTTTTAGAGGACAGGGGTCTCTTCTGTGCTGGGGCAAAGGCAGTGGACGTCGGCAGGTCATAGTGGGCACTGCTGGAGGGCTCAGTCCAGCATGGCGTCCAGCTGGTCAGCCAGGGCGTCGAACATGGTGCTGATGTCATCCAGAATGTGCTTGGTGGAGGCGCTGGGGGCGCTGCAGCAAGGGGAATGATGCGGTCAGGTCAGTCAGTGGTCTGCACCCCAATGACCCTGGGGCAGGGGGCTGTCATAGCTCTTGGAGGCTCAAGGAGGCAAGGGACAGCCGAGGCTTGTATGCCTCTTAAATGGCAGCCACTAGGATTCTCTAAATGTCAGATCTGGGTGACTCCAACACCTGGCCTCTTATCCCATTAGTGCCTGCAATGTCCCCCTCCAACATCCCCAGGAGCTCCAGGCAGAGGGCGCAGGGACGGCTACTTCTCTGCAGCCTTCTCTCCCTCCCCTGCCAGCCCCCCCTCACCCCTCTTGCTCCTCCGTGCCAATGCTCTTCTCTGCAGCTCTCAGTGCAGCTGCCAGGGACGAGCTGGTCTGCTCCAGTCTCTGCTGGGCCTGGCCTGGGCCCACAGTCCCAGTGCTCTCAGGCCGTGGAGGAGGCACTGGACGGGGGCCGAGCCGGGGCGCTAGCTTTGGGCCAGAAAATGCCAGCTGGGTGCAGGCCACCGATACAGGCTTGGGGGCTGTTCCTGCAAAGACAAAAAGGTTGGCCTGGCACTTGGCTGGGCCGGACGTAACCCTGCCAGCAGTGCCTCTCCCACAGGCCTCCCCTCTTACCTGCTCCGGGCACCTTGAGGAGGGCAGCAGGGGCGGCTGGGGGTTCTGTCTCCCCAGTCTGCTGACTAGCCACTGAGCTCTCCAGACCCGGCCCTGGGCAGGGCAGCACCGAGGGCTGTGTGGCGGGGCTGGGAGCAAGGGGGGCTGGGGCTCCTCGGGCTGGAAGGCTGCTGGGCTCAGGCTGAGGAGGGCTAGGAGAAGCTGAAGGAGACTCGCCAGGAGCTGGGGAGGGCGGGGGGGCAGCAGGGCCAGGCGTGGCGCTGGCCACTCCGAAGGCCAGCAGGGCGGTCTGCAGCGGCTCTCTCTCCCGGCACTTGGGCCTCCGCTTAACAGTGTCTGATTCTGTGAGGTTGAAATCGAGGCCCGGGGGCACGGATGTCTCTCGGGGTGGGGGGCCAGCGGGCTTTGGCCGTTGTTTGATGGTCAGGTTCCCTTCCTCTGCAAACGGCAGCCCTTCCCCAGAGCTGCCCCGGGATGGGGGCGTCCCCTCGGGGCCTGGCTCCTCCTCCTCCGTGTCCGATGAGGGCCCCGACTGGGCAGGTAGGCCAGGGGGCTCTGAGGGGCCAGCGGGTTCACTCAGTGTTCGCCTTCGGGGCCCTGAGGCCCCCTCTTTGGGCCCTGGGCTCCCGTCTAGGGGAGGTGGCTCTGGGGTAGGGCCAGAGACAGAGCTGAGGCGCTTGGGGGGTGGGGGTGGGGGGCCTTTGCGCCGGGCCCGCAGGGCGAAGGACTGGCTTCGAGGAGTCCCCCGAGCTGGGGTTGGGGTGGTGCTAGGACTGGTCCGGGCAAGGGCGCTGCGTCCTGGCCGCCGGGTAAGGGTTGCATAACTGCCCAGGGCACTGCCCACTGGCCCTTTGGCCTCCCCCTCAGCATCCCCCTCCGCAGGGCCAGGGCGGCTCAGGCTGTGGGACCGGCGCTTAGGTCGAGGCGGGTCTGGGGGAGTGGCAGGGGGCCCAGCCAAGTAGGAGAAGGCCCAGGGTGCGCCAGGAGGTGGCCCTGGGGCCGGGCTGGAGGGGGAACCCTGGGGGCTCATAAAAACATAGGGTGGGGGTCCTTGGCCAGGAAGTAGGGTACAAAGCTTAGGGGGTCGCTCTGTGCCCTCTGGAAGGTTCCTCTCCTGGGGGGTGCTAGGATCTCCAACGCCAGGCTGTAGGGCAGGCTGTTCCTGTGAGTGGCCGGACCCCCGTGAGCGTGCCCCGATGCTCTCCTGGCTGGGAGAGCGGGTAGGTGGGAGGGGGAGTGGCTCAGGGCCACCCCCTGCCATGGCTGCCTGTAGCTCTGGGCTCAGCTCGCTGCCCTGGAAGGTGAGGAGCCGCCGGCCGGCGGTAGCCGGGCCTTCCCCGTTCTCCAGGCCCTCGATGGCCATCAGCTCTGGACCCTTGGCCAGCCGGTGCCCGCCTTCACCGAGGGCCTCTCCCTGCAGCAAGCCCCGCCGAAGCTCTGCCAGCCGCTTCACCCCCAGCATAAGCTTCTTCTGATGCCCTGAGATGGAAACAGAAGTGGCAAAGTTAGGTGGGGCTGGGGTGGTCCTGGTCACGACTGGGCCTCATTCTCTCTTCTCTTGGAGACCCCAGAGGCGGGTGGGGCCAGGCCTCAGGGCAGTCCTCACCGAGCTTGTTGACCCCGATCTCCTGCAGCTCCTCCCAGGTGAGGTCAGTCACCAACCCCATGGAATCGTAGCCGCTGCTCACCAGCTGCTTGTGGTACTGCGGCAGCCCCAGTGCACACAGCCACTCCAGCAGGTCCGTCTGGAAGAGCACCGTCCTCAAAAGAGCTCCCGGCCAGCCTCCGCCCCCAGCCAGAGAGGAAAAGGCACCAGCACGTGCCCTACTCCCCAGCCCCCCTGATGGGCGACAGCATGTGCCCCACTCCCCAGCCCCCCGATGGGCGACAGCATGTGCCCCACTCCCCAGCCACCCTGATGGCTCACCGGGATGTAGGTGGGAAGCCACTCAGCGATGCTGAGCTGAGCAATCTCTGAGGCGATCTTCTTCCTGTGGCCAGGCTTGGTCACCCCGATGGCTGTCAGATCCTGCCGCACAGAGTCTGACCATCAGGCCCATCGCCTGCCTGCTGGGCCCTCCCCGGCCCACTGGGCACTGCTCCCGGGCTGCAGCACCCACCTCAGGCGTCATGCGGCTGATGGTAGGCACGTCATAGCCGGCCTGCAGAAAGTGGGCAGTGTAGCCCTCCAGCTGGAATTCACTCAGCCAGTTATAAATAGCCTGTGCGTCCTGTGGGGTGGGAGAAGGGGGCAGAATTAGCAGGAACTGGGCGAAGCCCCCAGCCTCCCGCCAGGTGCCTGCCTGAGCGGGACTTCAGTCCATACAGAGGCCCTTGCATCTCCCTGCTCTACCCACCCCAGCCCCGAGGCCCACAGTGCACCCCAGGGGAGGTCACACCTTCCCCTCCAGCAGCTGTTCCGGCCGCACGTCCTGGGTGAAGATCTGCTCCCCAGAGCGGCAGTTGGCCAGAGGGCGGTGGCTCAGGTTGTCTTCAAGGAGGGAGAGACATGGAATGGAGAGGTGGCAGGAGGAAGGGGTGCCCACCCTCGGCCTCCTTACCTGCACCTCTTCTAGCCAACCCAGCTCCCCTGACCCTTCCTACCTGCCAGGGATGGTGGGTGGAGTCCCGGCAGCACCTGGTCCTCTCCGGCTGAGGGCAGTGGCTGGAGTCAGGGCAGGAGCGAACTTAGCATTTGAGGAACTGGCAGTGGGGGGTGAGCCCTACCCTGGTTTGTGACCTCACCATCCTACCTGGGCATTCTCAATCAGGAGGCCAGGGCCGTGGCCGTTAGTGCCCTCGGAGCTCTGCCCGCTGCCAGCGCTGCGGATACTACCCACACTGCCCTCGCTGCCCACGCTATTCCTGTCACCTGCTGTTGGGGGGAGAAGCCAAGGGTCAGAGCCCCAGGGGACACTGCCAACAGCTGACTGGCAGCTTGCCCAGGCCACACACCCACACAGTGCCCAGCACTGCCCCCTGGGAGGATGTACCTGGGCTGTCTGGGCTGAGGCCCACCCGAGGAAGCTGGCCGTAGGTAAGAGGGTGCAGGGGGTCATCTGCAGGAGGCTGCGGTGTCCGGGAGAAGCCTGGGCGCAGGGGGGTGGGTGCGGAGGGGAGGCGGGCTGCAGGGACACCCACCCGCTTGCTGACCACCTCGACGATGCCCGGGGGGAAGTAGCCTATTCGGTCTGTGCCCTTTTGGCTCTCATGGATGTGGCCCTTCCAGCGGCCGTCGGGATGCTGTTCTAGCACCTGCGGCCAGGGGTGGGGGGCAGGGACCTGGTCACTCCCAGCACCAGGCAAGTGACAAATAGCTGTGCCTGCAGCTGCAGTCCAGCAACGCTGGTCCAGCTCTTCCCCTCCCCCCAAGGAGCTGGCCTCTGATGCCCACACTGGCTCACATTCTGCCCCTGCTGCCAGCCGCTAGCCCAATCTCCCTTGTGCCTCCAGGATGAGCCCTGGTGGCAGCCTGTGGTCAAATCACAGCTCCACTAGTTGGTAGCTGTGTGACCTTGGGCAAGTCACTTTAATTTCTCTTAATTTTATTTTGTTTAATTCTCAAGTTTGTCATCTCTAAAGAAATGCTAATCGCATTGCCTTCCCTGGCTTCGGAAAGAGTTAAATGAGGGTGAATATAGAAACCTCAGAGCAGAACCTGGTAACACAGCCAGGTGCCCAAATCAGTAACTGTAATCATTTGTATGTGCCAAGGAATGTCTGCCTGGGGCTCCTCACCGTGATGACATCCCCTGCCCGGACATTGAGAGCAGTGGGATCGTGGAGGTTCCAGAAATCCTTGAGGGCTCGGACCTTCAGGATCCCTGAGGCCTCTAAGAGAACGGGGTGGGGGAAAGGTGTCATCTAAGGGTCCTTAGGGCATCTTTCCAACCCATATCCCCTTGACAACCCTTCCCCAGGGACGTCTATTCCCCCTCCACCAGGCCCCCTGGGCAGGGTCTCCTCCCTGCACTCACCCCGCAGTAGCTGCTTGATTTCCCGGCTGGCCTGGGAGGTGGTGAACTGATTCACTATGTCCAGCGCCGTCTGGTTATATGTATTCCGGATGTTCACGTCCACACCTCCCTGGGCGCAAAGTGATGCATGAGCACTCGATAGGCACTTTGACAACTCTCCCTCGCTTCTCTCAGCTACCCGGGATGTAGGTAGCTTATCATTTTCAGATTTTACAGACGAGGAAATAGAAGCTCAGGGACTCAATCAAGGACAAGCTCAAGTTCACTCAGCTAGTAAGCGGCAGAGCAAATTGAACTGGTCTGCTCCCGATCCATCTCTACGGCCTCAGCACCGTTCAGAAGAAAGTCAGGCCTCTTTCCTGACGCCCATGCAAAAGCCACGCTGGAGTCCTCCCTCTGGGACCTCCCCAGCCAGTCAGGGCCCAGGGCAGAGGCTCCAGGGACACCTGTGAGGGAGCAGGGGCCCACACCCACCTCCAGGAGCAGCCGCACCACCTCGGTCTTGCCGTACAGTGCGGCCTCGTGGAGCGCTGTGCCCGTCTTGGTCTGGCGGTTGATCTCGATCCCGGCTCTCAGGAGCTGCCTGCAGTGGGCGGAGGGAGTCATGGGGAGGTGGGGCAGGAGGGGACGATGACTGCTGGGGGCTAGGAGATGGAGAGCCCAGGTAAAGAGGGCAGCAGGGGAGGGCACTGAGGGGCACCGATGGTCCCACAGGAAGGTGATGAAGAAGCGGGGGGTACCCCAAGGGTACCTGATGACTTCTCTGTGGCCATTCTTGGCCGCCAAATGCAGGGGTGTGGTGTAGTTGGGGTCACACGGGTCCTTGGCCTCGCCCTCCAGTAGTGCCACACATAAGTGGCTGTTCAGTAGCAGCTGGGCCACCTACAGCAACCCAGCACCCAGTTAGAGCCTCCTCCTCAGACCTTGTACATGTCTAGGACCCAGCACCCCAAGGCTGCGGGCCTCACCTTGAGTCGGCCAAATTCACAGGCCAGATCCAGGGGTGTCTTCTTGGCCTTGTTGACCAGGCACGGGTTGGACTGATGCTGGAGGAGCATTTCTGACTAGGGTTAAGGGGAGCCAAGTGAGGGGGCCTGGCTTGTCCAGCACCCTGCCGCGCCCTGTGCCAAGTCCCTGTGGGCAGTCTCACATACCACCTCATAGTGTCCATACTGCGCGGCCAGGTGCAGGGGGATCTGCCCGTCCAGTGAGGCGGCATTGACGGCCGCAGAGGCACGCAGCAGCAGCCTCACGGGCTCCAGCCGGCCCTGCCAAGCTGCATAGTGCAGTGGGCGCATGCCTGGCAGGAGGGAAGTGGTTCTGAGGAACATCCTGGGGTGGCGTTTGGGGTGGAGAGGGACTGAGCAGAAGATGGAGCCAGGCCAGCTGGGGGGGACCAGGGGATGCAATGCCAGCTCCACCTGCATGTGGTCAGGAAGAGGTCCAGCTCGACAGGGCTGAAGCCAGAGTCCCGCTGTGCCCACCTCGGATGATGATGACCCCAGGACAGCGACAAGACCTCGCTGAGCCTCAACCTACTCATCTGAATAACGGACGTTAGTATCACCCTCTATGCAAGAAGACTGTGAAGATTAAACAGGGAAAAGCCACTTGCAAGCCTAGAGAAGCTGTGCTAACATTTATTAGCACTGCTACGTTGTAACGGGAGCAAGCTCTGGTCCCAGGGTCTGGGTAGGGCCCCTACCTCCCCGGAGTGGGGGTCAGGGGCACATGGGGGTCTCACCGTTGCTGTCCTTGATGTCAACAGTGGCCTGAGCCTCTAGCAGCAAGGCTATGAGCTCCAGGCTGCCCCCCAAAGCGGCGTGATGGAGGGCAGAGAATCTGGTGTGGGGTGACACAAAGTTGGGGGTGTTGGTGGGCAGCCCTCACCCCCAAATCCTGGTCTTCCATACCCAAACCTCTCCTGGGGGCTGGCAGGGATGGGTTACTGGTCACCCCACCCTGCCAGCCCTGCCGTGGGAGCGCAGTGGCTGGGCCACAGCATGAAAGGGCTCTGTGTCTGCACTGAGAGGCCTGTTTGTCTGGCCCCCAATTCCCAGCTGGCCCAGGGGAGGGGGCCGTGGGAGCAGGAGCCTGAGGGCTCCTACCCTCCAGGGAGAAAAGGGGGCCCCAAAGGAATCTGACCCCAGGAGGCCCCTCACTCTGGGCTAACTCCACAGGCGGGTAGGTGCCCCCTCCCTCTGGCCCTAGGGACAGGACCCACAACTCGAAGCAAATACACGTCCAGGGCCAAAGGGACCCTGGGCCTCAGGATCTTTCCTTCTAGCCCCACCCCTGGGGCTCTACTGCTCCCACCCAGCAGCTCTGCAGAGGGAAGGGGGCTCCCACTCACCCATCAGCGTCCTGGTAGTTCACGTTCAGCCTCTTTGTGGAGCCCAGGAGCTCTGCGGGTGTCAGGAGAGGAGGTGTCAGGGCCATCAGATGATCTGCCGTCACCCAGCATCCCTCCCCCCACCGGTCACAGCCCGGCTGACCTCTTGGTTTACAGGAAAGCACCTGCCCCATGGCCTTTTGCCCGTCCTGTCCCTGTGGCTCCCACCCTGGCCCACCAGCCTGCCAATGTGACGGCAGCCAGGGCAGGATGCTGCTGTGGCGGTGCCTGGCTTCCCCTCGCCCCAGCCCCACTTGTTTATAGAGCCAAAGGGGGCAGGGGGTGGGACTGGCACAATGTGCCCTAGGCGGACAGGCCCACGGTGTGGATGGTTAGCATTCCTGCCTGAATGGGCCAAGCAGTGAGTCACGTTGTCCTATTGGGCCGAGGGGCGGGGGAAGAGAAGGAAAGAGGCACTAGGTGTTCAAGGGCAGGACAGATGCTGCCTGAAGCGCCACTATGCCCAGTCCTGGGCATTCCAGGGGAAGGTGACATCAGTCAGGCCTCTACCCCACCCTGGCTCTGCCAGGGGCGAGCTGTGTGACCATGACAAGTCATTTAACCTCCCAGGCTCAGTGTCCTCAACTGTAAAATGAGCTGATCAGAACCTGCTCACAGGGGCTGTGAGTACAGTGCCTGATCTTGTCATATGCAAAGAGAGGTGCTCTTGCCATCTAGCCCTCCTGATGTGTTGGACAGTACCATCCCGATGTTCGGGTGATGGTCCTCCAACAAGAGCTGGCACAGGAGCCGCACTGTTCCCACTGGGATCCCAGTGGGTTCTCAGACTGCCTGGGGAGTCCCTGCTACTGCTCTCTCCGCACCGACAAGGTCTCAGCTGAGATGTCCGTGGCCTGGACAAGAACTCTGCAGGTTGGCAGTAAGAGGCGCTGGGGCCAACCCCTCGGGGCAGGGTTCAGGCAGGTGTGCTCCCTGAGTGATCCAGGGAACTGGTGGGAGTGGTTCTTGAAGTGCTGGGGAGGGAAGGAAGGCCTGTCCCAGGCGGCCCCTGCCTCCTGCTAGAACCCTGCAGGGAAGGAGTGAGCCTGGCTCAACGAGGCTGGGCAAAGTGCCAAGCGTGCTGGCCCAGGCCTGCCCCCCAGGCTCCGGTGGGCCCCTCAATACCCCAGTAGCCTGGGCAGGACAGGGCTTCATTCCAACAGGGAGGGGAGGGACCGAACCTTGCAGTGGGGAGCATGGCACAGGGAGGGAGGGGACAGCTACACTGAGGGCCAAGCTGAAGGACACTGTGCCACAAAGGTAAGGGCAGAGCCAAGGAGGGACAAAGAGCTAAAGGGGCTGCAGCCACTGGGAAGAAACACAGACTCCATTTTTCTCCAGTCCCCTTGGAAAGAACCATTTCCCCTTTTCATACAGAACTATTTGAGGCAGTAGAAAGAAGAGGGACTCTTGAAGCGGAAGTGCACAGTTCAAATGCTCACTCTGGCTGTGTGACCTTGGCCTGCCACCGCACCTCTCTGAGTCCCAGTGAATCTGAGGTCAGCAGGGAAGAGACACAGAGCGCCCTTCAAGCTGCCTCCTCCTCCAACAGCCCTCCGCCTCCAACAGCCTGGACAGTTTGGGATGAGGCAGTTGGGTGGCGGGATGCAGTTCCTCCAGGGAGGGGCAGGACAATGTGACAGGCAGGACAGGAACAGGGCAAGGGCCAGGCTGGGTGGCTCTGTTCTTTCCAGAACAATGGCCGGAAAGGCAGTGGGGGAGAGGCTCAGAGTGACCGGGCTGGGGACCTTGGCGGGAGGGCAGAGAGTCCCGGTTCCAGGCACTTCCTCTGCGGTGCAACCTACTTCCCGGGCCTGGCGCTGGGGGTGGAAGGGTGGCTCCTGATTTAGGCTCCCGGGCAGAGGATGTGAGCTCAGCCGGCTGCCCCAGCACACCCCATTTCCTCTGGCCAAAGAAGGAGATTGTTAGGAAAAGGGAGTGGTGTGGGGGGGGGCAGGGTCAGGACAACTGTATCCCTCTTCTCTCAGCCACCTGCTCCCTGAAGGGGACCTGGGTGGGGGCAGAGAATCAGCCAGATATCAAAGGGAGGAGGCTGAGGGAGCACCTCCCACCTCTCTGTTCTCTCTTTCTGGATAACTATAAAGCTCTAGCTACCCCTCAGAAGGAAAAAGGGGAGTCCTGACACCTCCCTTGTAGCAGTTTCCTTTGCTTTCTTGTGCTACGGAGCAGGAGTCCCCAGGCCCACTCCTGAGAACTGCATTAGAATCACCAGGAGATTGCCGGGCGCGGTGGCTCAAGCCTGTAATCCCAGCACTTTGGGAGGCCGAGGCGGGTGGATCACGAGGTCGAGAGATCGAGACCATCCTGGTCAACATGGTGAAACCCCGTCTCTACTAAAAATACAAAAAATTAGCTGGGCATGGTGGCGCGTGCCTGTAGTCCCAGCTACTCAGGAGGCTGAGGCAGGAGAATTGCCTGAACCCAGGAGGCGGAGGTTGCGGTGAGCCGAGATCGTGCCATTGCACTCCAGCCTGGGTAACAAGAGCGACACTCTGTCTCAAAAAAAAAAAAAAAAAAGAATCACTAGGAGAACGTCCTGATTCAGAGTCTCAGAGTCCCAGGCCCTCTCATGAGTCTGATTTTCAGGGGAACCCAAGGAGTCTGCACTTTTATTTGCTTAATTTTTTGAGACAGAGTCTTGTTCTGTTGCCCTGGCTGGAGTGTGATGGCACGATCTCGGCTCACTGCAGCCTTGACCTCCCAGGCTCAAGTAATCCTCCCACCTCAGCCTCCTGAGTAGCTGGGACTACAGGAATGCACCACCATGCCCAGATAATTTCATAATTTTTTGTAGAGACAGCATCTTACTATGTTGCCCAGGCCAGTCTCAAACTCCTAAGCTAAAGTCATCCTCCCGTCTCAGCCTCCTGAGTAGCTGGGACTATAGGTGTGTGCCATCATGGCTGGCCCAGTCTGTACTCCTATTATTTTTTATTTTTTTTGAGACGGAGTTTTGCTCTTGTTGCCCAGGCTGGAGTGCAATGGCACGATCTCGGCTCACCCCAACCTCTACCTCCTGGGTTCAAGCGATTCTCCTGCCTCAGCCTCCCAAGTAGCTGGGATTACAGGCATGCGCCACCACACCTGGCTAATTTTGTAATTTTAGTAGAGATGGAGTTTCTCCATGTTGGTCTGGCTGGTCTCAAACTCCTCATCTCAGGTGATCCGCCTGCCTTGACCTCCCAAAGTGAGACCCCCATCTCTGAAAAGAACAGGGAATTCTGATGGGCAGCTGAGTGCAGAGCACAGGGGACAGGGTACAGCTTTGCCTCTGCTCTCCCATGCTATGGCTGTGTGACTTTAGGCAAGTCACTAACCCTCTCTGAGCATCACTTACCTTATCTGCAGAATGAATATTGAAATACCTATCTCAGAGGCAAGTAAGGAAATTATAATATTTGGTTTGCAAATGTCATCTTGTAATCTCACTTTTGTCACCAGCTTCTCAGAGGACTTGGGAGGAGGCACAGTGCCAGGGCCTCACAAGGAATCCCAGACCCCAGTCACGCTGTGCCTGTGCTTACACCCTGCACAGGGTGAATTCTCCCCTATGGGACCAAAGGAAGACCTCTTTCCCCACAGACATTTCCCACTGGGCACAAGGGACCTTCTCAGAGCCCAAAAGCCTGGATCTGCAGTTCCAGCCACCGGTCTCCAGACCCCTCCTGCCTTCCCTCCTGAGGGCCTCACTTTGAGGCCCCAGAGCTTTGAGGCCAGCAGCAGCTTGACCAAGGCCCCACTGGGCAGGTGGCCAAAAACAACACAGAGGTGACAGATGAGGGGAGTGGCTGCACTGTTGGACCTTAGGGCCCTCCCCTGGGACCTCCTTAGCACCTCCCCTGTGGCACTCACCCTGTGTCCACTTCCCTAGGCACAGAGACCACCCCACATCGCCACCTCTCCGGGCCCCGGGTCTCCCACCCTGCCCTGATGTGCCAGTGGATGCATGAGGTTAAAGCCCTTCCTCTAGTACCCAGACCCCAGGTGTTCAGGTAGCCTGGGGGACTCCTTCCAGTGCACGTGGCCAAGGTGTGTCTTGGGGCTAGAGCCCCTGCACTCCAGAGGAGACCCTCCCATCCAGGAAACTCCTCCTGCCTCAGTCTGGTGGCAGGACCCACCTCCTGCCCATGCTGATCTAGGATCTCAAGGTGACAAGTCCAGTGGCCTCCTGGGACAGCCGAGAGAGAGCTCCCTGAAGCCCGGGGGTCTATTCTTCCTGTAGGGGGGTCTCACCACAGAGGGACCCAAGACATGGGGCTCAGGTGTGGCCACTAATGCATCGAGCTTCCAGGCTATGTGAAAACCTCCAGCAAACGAGCTCTGGCCACCACGCCCTGCCTTCCCCTGCCCCAAAGGGCACACATGTCAGGCTAAGAGGGACTTCAGCAAGTGCTTAGAAAGTGCTGAACTTTTTTTAAGCAGTAGAACTCCCTTTTTAAAAGCGATCTTGCCGCCAGGTGCAGTAGCTCATGCCTGTAATCCAGCACTCTGGGAGGCCGAGGCACGTGGATCACCTGAGGTCAGGAGTTCGAGACCAGCCTGACCAACCCCGTCAGGCTGGTGAAACCCCGTCTCTACTAAAAATACAAAAATTAGCCAGGCGTGGTGGCAGGCACCTGTAATCCCAGCTACTTGGGAGGCTCAGGCAGGAGAATCACTTGAACCTGGGAGGTGGAGGTTGCAGTGAGCTGAGATCGCACCGCTGTACTCCAGCCTGGGTAAGAAATTGAGACTCTAACTCACGAAAAAAAAAAAAAAAAAAAAGCTATCTTACAGATATCCTCTTAAGACACAAACACAGAGACGCTCTGGTTGAAATGTGTGCATTTGAGGTTGGGGGTAGGGATGAAGTTCTATCTATTCAGTCTTCTCTAACCCACTGTCAGAAACCCCATGACTCCAAAGAACACATCAGAAAGACCACCTGCTAGAAGGTGCCTCCATGAGGACAGGAATCTGGGTCTGTTTTGTTCACTACTATGGTCCAGTGCTGAGAACAGAGACTGAGCTGGGCACCGTGACTCATGCCTATAATTCCAGCACTTTGGGAGGCCTAGGTGGGTGGATCACTTGAGGTCTGGAGTTCGAGACCAGCATGGTCAACATGGTGAAACTCCATCTCTACCAAAAATATTTTTTTAAAAATTAGCCAGGTGTGGTGGTGCACACCTATAATCCCAACTTCTCAGGAGGCTGAGGCAGGAGAATAGCTTAAATCCAGAAGTTGGAGGTTCCAGTGAGCCAAGATCATGCCACTGCACTCCAGCCTGGGTGACAAGCAATAGGCACTCAATAACGATGTGAATGAATGTACTTCAACCCTCTCATTTTGCAAGCAAGGAAACTGCCGCCCAGAGAGGTTAAGTGACTTGCCTAAAGATACACAGCAAGGGGAACCCAACTTTCTCTCTGGCTCTCTCACACAGAGGCACTTCTTATTGAGAACAAGGCCGTCCACCCTCCTCAAGTATGCAGATCACAGTGACCCACCCCCATGCCCCAAACCTCTGTGGCCTGAACACTCAGAGGGCTGCAGCTAGATGCTCACACCACCAAGTACTCACTTGTCTTTGTGGCCTTGACCTTCGCCACCAGTTTCTGCACACCGGTCACATCTCCATTCTTGACAGCGAGGATCAGGTCCTGTTCACGACCCATCCTGGCTCCTGGTCTGAGCTCTGCGCTCAGGAGTCCAGGGCAAAGGCAGGCAAGGGTCCAAGCTGGGGTGTCAGAGCACCATGCCGCAGCTCCTTGGAGGGCTCCCAGTTCTGGGGGAGCAAGTCTAGTGTCCCAGGCAGCAGGCTCCTCGTCAGGTGCTGGGGGACACTCCCAAAGGTGCTCTGTGAACTGCCACCACAGGAAGGAAAGCCAATCTTTGTGGGGTGGACGTTACGTGGAAATCTGGATGGATATCAGCTTGTGGCTTTAGACAGCTCCAGGATGGGTTGGAACTGGGCACACCAATCTTCCTGGCTTGGCTGGGGAACAGCAGTGCCTACCCAGACAGCAGCCAGTATTCCCTTGGGCTTCAGGCAGCACGGGTCCCAGGGGTCTGGAAAAGGGGCAGTGTCTCTGTTGAATGCTGGGCCACAGCCTGCAAGGGTTCCAGAAGGGGGGTGCAGAGGATGAGCAGGACAGGACCTTGAGGAAGCCCCGAAGCCCCTCTGGCTCCCCGAAGCCCCTCTGGCTCCCCTCAGTTGATGGAGGAGCTGAGCCACTTGAAGTTCGGCGGAAGCTGCCACGCTTGAGAGGAGTATTGGTGGGGGGGAGGTGGCATTCTGGGAGGGGGAGGCTGAGTCACTGGGGCCCCAGGGCACCTGGCAGTACCTCAACCTTGGGCAGGAGGGGCCCTGGCAGCATGACATACTGGGGCAGGCCGGGCCAGCAGCCTGTTCTCCACAGCCTCAGGCTCCGACACCCACAGACAACTGGCGGGCCAGGAGGTGGGGCCGGGAGGGTCAGGCATAGGCAGGCGGGCAGGGGTCACTCCCTGTCAAAGGCGCCAGCCCCCAGACTCCTCCCTACGGAGGAGTTAATAGCTGGATGCCCCAGCCCTAGGGCTCTTTGTGAACGGAGGGCATGAAGTGCTTCTGGCCCCCCGTTTCTGGGGGCTCTGCCTGCTGGAGAGCGAAGCTCACAGCACCTGTTGCTGACCCGTCCTCGCCCCTTGTGTCGGTGGAGGAGCAGCTGGGCAACGAACACAGACAGAGCTGGGGCACGGCTGATAAACGGGCTCCCAAGCCCCCCAAGCCTGAACCTGAAGCCCAAACCCTGGAGTCCACTGCAAAGAAGCTTACGTCAGTTTCTCGGTGGCAGCAAATTTGTTGCCAAAGTCTTGTGGCATAAGATCCCCGCAGGCCTGGGGCCCTAGCCGGGAACCCCTCACTCCGCAAATGTCCCAAGCCCAACCCGGGGGCACTCCCACTCGGGGCCCGTTGCCGACACAGGCGGAGGGCGCCCTTGGCAGTGCCTGGGGTCGGGCTGGCTCCCCCGCCCCCCGGAATGTCCCTCCAGCGCCGCGCAACCCTCCAGCCCAGCCCAGCTCAGCCCAGCCCCGGCCCACCCGGGGAACAAAGCGGCGGGAGAAGCCGGGCGGGCCAAGCCCCGAGGTATAAACGCGGAGGATGGAAAAAGGGGCGCGAGGAGGACGGAAGGAGCGGGGAGATGGAGGCGCCCGCCAATCCCGCAAGGAAAGTTAGTTTGCGCCCGCCCCCAGGGGCGCTGACCCCCAGCGCGGGCCTCACCTTTCCCGGCCGCCCGCCGGGGTCCGGCTGGCCCTGCTCGGTCCCTGGCACTCTGGACGGTGGCTCCCACTCCCCCCCTGCCCCCCTTTCTCCTTCTCCTTTTCCAAGGCCGGCTCGGCGCCTCCCGCAGGAAATCCCGCCCCTCCCCCCTCCCTCCCGCCGGATCGGGAGAGGAGGGACCGTCCCGGCCGCTCAGTCAGGCTGTCAGTCAGCGGCGGAGGCTCCGCCCCCATCCGTGCCAGGTCCCGCCCCCATTTTCGTTCGCCCGCACCGGGGGCGCCGACCGGATCAGCGCATGCGCCCAGGTAAAACGGAGAGGCGGTGGGTGGTGGAGCGGAGGTGACCTGGGGCCTTGGAGTTAGACCCAAGGGCGAGACACCCCGGGTCTGAGAAGACGTAAAGTGAAGGGGGTTGGCAGCCAAGACGCGGGATCCCACTTGCAGTACTCTCCGCCCGCGGCCGGTGTCGCCCACCCGCGGCCGCTAGCCGGGCAATGGCACCACCTAGCGGACGGCGCCGGAGCGGCCCGCGGGGGCGGCGCGGGGACCCCAGCCTCGAGGAGGCGCTCGTGCCGGGCGGAGGTGGCGCTTCAGCACCGTCGCGTGCCGGACAGCGCCTCCCGCCCCTGCCACTTGAAACCTGGCTTCGGAGCTCAGCCGGAGGGACCCGACGGAAGACCCCGAAGGAATGGCAAACCTTCCCGGACGGCTCCTGACAGTCCCCGGGTGTCCTTTGGCCTGCAAAGTCGGAATTTGCTCACCCTCCGCTCGCCCTTCTCTGAGCCCTTCTGCCCTCCTTGCCCAGCTCGGACGGTGGGGACTAAACAGCGCGGGGCTGCGCAGGGGCGGTAACACGTGTGACCATTCTTACTGCCCTCCCAGCCGCCGGCTTCTGAGGCTTTACTGGAGAGAGGTCCCGAGGAGGGCTGGGAAGAGGAGAGGGGGTTCCTGCACCTCCAGCAACCTGCGGGCTGAGTTCCGAGCCTTGGCGTCGGGGCGCGTGCCTCCGGGCGGGCACTAGGACCCGGGATAGTCAGGAGGGCGCAGAGCGGGCGGGGAAAGGGGCGGGGCTGCCGCGGCGCCACGGATCGGCGGGCGCTAGGGCAGCGCGGAGCTCCGGTGGTGGGTGGGGCGTAGCGGCGCGCGCAGCGGCAGGCGGCGGCGGGATGGAGCTTGAGCGCGAGCCCGAACCCCAGCCGGCGGCAGTGGAGGTTCCTGCGGGACGCGTGCTCAGGTGCGGCGCGGCCCGGCCCGAGGGGGATATGGTGGGGGTGGGGGCGCTAGACCAACGCGGGTAGAGAAACCAGGGCCCAGACCGAGCCGGGCGGCCCCCGATGCGTGGCGCTGATCCTGAGTCCCCTTTTCCCCCAGCGCCCGGGAGCTCTTCGCCGCCCGCTCGCGGTCGCAGAAGCTGCCCCAGCGCTCGCATGGCCCCAAGGACTTTCTGCCCGACGGCTCGGCAGCCCAGGCCGAGCGGCTGCGCCGGTGCCGGGAGGATCTCTGGCAGCTGCTGGCGGAGCAGCGCGTAGAGCGCCTGTGAGAGGGGCGGGCCCGGGGATGGGAAGAGCAGGGGCGGAGACGGGCCGCGGGGGCCTCCCGCGTGAACTGACGGGGACCCTTCCCTACTCCTCGCCAGGGGCAGCTTGGTGGCTGCCGAGTGGAGGCCGGAAGAGGGCTTCGTGGAGTTGAAGTCTCCTGCGGTGAGCGGCGGGCAGCGAGCTCGGGGACCGCCTTCCCTGCCCTCCTCCCTCCCCTGTGACACTTGCTCTGGGCCCCACACAGGGCAAATTCTGGCAGACCATGGGCTTCTCAGAGCAGGGCCGGCAGCGACTTCACCCGGAAGAGGCCTTGTATCTCCTGGAGTGTGTGAGTGGGGTCCGGGAGGTGGGGAGGGAGTTGGGACGAAGAATGGGAAGGACACGTTTTATCGGAGAAAAAACACACACAACCCGATCTTTAGAGAACGGATAATCGAACCTCTAGAGCAGGAGGTAGTACTTTGCAGGGAGCAGGGATTCCAGTCCAAATTAGTGATGCTGCTCCGCTTTTCTGTTTGGCCACATTCTTGATGTGCTGCTGGGAGGTGGAAGGGGAGGTTTCAGAGCCGGGAAGTTGCCCCACTACTCTGTAGCAATGCAGAGAGGGCTTATAAGCTGAGCTGTTGGCCCCACTTCCAGGGCTCCATCCAGCTCTTCCACCAAGACCTGCCACTGTCCATCCAGGAAGCTTACCAGCTGCTGCTGACCGATGACACTGTGACCTTCCAGCAGTACCAGGTATCTGCCCCCACCCCGCCCCCAGGAGCCACCCATCCACTGAATCCGTGAGTATTGACAAGTACCCATGAGGTCCCTGGCACAGTGTCACACGCTGGGGCTGCAGGGCAGACGAGGGCTGTGTGGTCACGAGGCTTACATTGCAATGGTGGCCTGTTGGCTTCACGTAGAACCCAGTGCTGGCAGAAGATAGGTGGGGAAGGAGAATCGGAAGAGACTGGGCTGTTCATTCAAGTGAGAGAAGGTGGGGGCTTGTCCCAGGTTAGGGGTGGGTGGGGTTGCAGTGAGTGAAAAATAGATGAATCTCAGAAATATTTTAGAGAAAGAATGGATAGGACTTTGCCAGTGGATTACGTGTCAGGATTAAGGAGAGAGAACCCAGGATTACCATCCATGATTTAGGCATGTGCAAGTGGGTGAAGGGTACTATCATATTCTGACTGTGAAGAATGAAGAGGAACAGTTTTGGGAGGATGAGACTAGTCAAAGGAGCTCTATTTCGGATAAGTTAATTTTGAGGAGCTTCTTGGACATCCTAGTGAATGTCAAGCAGATGGACAATTGGAATCCAAGTCTGGAGCATGGGGAGAGGTCACGGCTAGATGTCAGTATGCGCCATGAGCACCTGGATGGTCTCATACTACTGGGCAGTATGAGAGTGCCGTCAGAGTAGAGGGCTGGGTCTGAGCCCTGGGGCTCTCTGAGTAGGTTAGGGGGCAGATAAGAGGCAGAAACAGACTGAGGAGTGTCTGGTGATACAGGAGAAAAACCAAAGTTGCGGCCAGGCACAGTGGCTCACACCTGTTATCCCAGCACTTTGGGAGGCCAAAGCAGGTGGATCATGAGGTCAAGAGATCGAGACCATCCTGGCCAACATGGTGAAACCCCATCTCTACTAAAAATACGAAAAATTAGCTGGGCATGGTGGTGTGAGCCTGTAATCCCAGCTACTTGGGAGTCTGAGGCAGGAGAATCCCTTAAACCCGGGGGGTTTAAGAGATTGCAGTGAGCCAAGATCGAGCCACTGTACTCCAGCCTGGGCAACAGAGTGAGACTCCATCTCAAAAAAAAAAAATAGGAAGGGCTGGGCGCGGTGGCTCACGCCTATAATCCCAGCACTTTGGGAGGCCGAGGCCGGCGGATCACGAGGTCAAGAGATTGAGACCATCCTGATCAAGAAGGTGAAACCCCGTCTCTACTAAAAATACAAAAATTAGCTGGGCATGGTGGTGCTTGTCTGTAGTCCCAGCTACTCGGGAGGCTGAGGCAGGAGAATTGCTTGAACCCAGAAGGCGGAGGTTGTGGTGAGCCGAGATCGTGCCATTGCACTCCAGCCTGGGTAACAACAGCAAAACTCCGTCTCAAAAAAAAAAAAAAAAAAAAAAAGGCCAGGCGCGGTGGCTCAAGCTTGTAATCCCAGCACTTTGGGAGGCCGAGGCAGGTGGATCACGAGGTCGAGAGATCGAGACCATCCTGGTCAACATGGTGAAACCCTGTCTCTACTAAAAATGCAAAAAATTAGCTGGGCATGGTGGCACGTGCCTGTAATCCCAGCTACTCAGGAGGCTGAGGCAGGAGAATTGCCTGAACCCAGGAGGCGGAGGTTGCAGTGAGCCGAGATCGCGCCATTGCACTCCAGCCTGGGTAACAAGAGCGAAAACTCCGTCTCAAAAAAATAAAAATTAAAAAAAATAATAAAAAATAAAAAAATAGGAAAACCAAAGTCGCATCACAGAAGCCAAGGGAAGGTCTTTCAAAGAGGAAGTGGTTAGCTATGCTGAAGGCTGCTGAGAGATCAGGCAGGATGGGGGACATTCTTGTGTACATCCTTCTGATGTGAATACAGGGACACCCCACCTGTATCTGTGGAGGTGTGGGGCTGGGGAGATGCCCACCACCTTCTGCCATCTTTTTGTTCCCATGGTGGTCAGCAGCTTCACTCTTGGGAGCTTTGGTATCAGAATACTCAAGTATTTCAGGGTGTGGTTGTTTTCTGGTTTCATGGCTGTCAGTTTTTTGGGATTTGCATTTAAGTCAAGAAATGGCGGCCGGGCGCGGTGGCTCAAGCCTGTAATCCCAGCACTTTGGGAGGCTGAGGCGGGTGGATCACGAGGTCAAGAGATCGAGACCATCCTGGTCAACATGGTGAAACCCCGTCTCTACTAAAAATACAAAAAATTAGCTGGGCATTGTGGCACGTGCCTGTAATCCCAGTTACTCAGGAGGCTGAGGCAGGAGAATTGCCTGAACCCAGGAGGCGGAGGTTGCGGTGAGCCGAGATCACGCCATTGCACTCCAGCCTGGGTAACAAGAGCGAAACTCCATCTCAAAAAAAAAAAAAAAAAAAAAAAAAGAAATGTCATTTGTGCCGAGTAAGGTAAGTGGGAGGACACAGGAATTCTGAGCCTGAGATCTTTGGGGGTGGTGCTAGTAATGGAGTATGCTCCAACCTTAGTCACAGTGTTTCGAACCTGGGGGCACAGGAGGGGCAGGGAGGGCTTGGGGATGGCCTGTGTCTGGATAAACCATTTGGTGTTTCCAGAAGTGGCCATCTGAGCTTCCTTTTTTTTTTCTTATGAGGTCTTCAGCCACCTGAAGAGGTTGGGTTATGTGGTTCGACGATTTCAACCAAGGTAAATCCCCTTCCTGTTTCTGTTCCACATATTCTAGTCCAGGGACCTGGCTGGTTGGTCTCTGGTAGAAAATGGCCTCTCCTTACCTGGAACCCTTGGCTGGAGTGCAGCTCCTTGGACATGGACTGGAAGCCTCTGCTGGAAGCGTTCTGAGAGAGGCAGGTTGGGAGGAATCCAGGTCATTGCACTTTATTCTGGGTTATGAAATCGAGCCCCATCTTCAGGTGACCTGTGCCTGCATCTCTGTGTGAGCACTGAGAGGCAGGGTTGGAACGGTGTCCGACACTTAGTAGGTGCACAGGCAGATACGTAGAGTGTATGCTTAAATGAAGGACTGGGTAAGGAATTTATAGTTAGTAGGGTTTCACATTTTTAATGCCAGGTTAAATGTTTTTTTTTTTTTTTCCTTTTTTTGAGATGGAGTTTCGCTCTTGTTACCCAGGCTGGAGTGCAATGGCGCGATCTCAGCTCACCGCAACCTCCGCCTCCTGGGTTCAAGCAATTCTCCTGCCTCAGCCTCCCAAGTAGCTGGGACTACAGGCGTGTGCCATCATGCCTGGCTAATTTTTTTGTTTTTTAGTAGAGATGGGGTTTCACCATGTTGACCAGGATGGTCTCGATCTCTTGACCTCGTGATCCACCTGCCTCGGCCTCCCAAAGTGCTGGGATTACAGGCATGAGCCACCGCACCCGGCTAAATGTTTTTTCTTTCATCAGCTTAGTAATTCAGCATTGCTAAGAGGCAGAGACCTTCAGACTTGAAATGGAAATGGGTACAGCTTTTGCAGTTATGGTATGTCGCAAAAGCTCTAAAGCAAGGACATCTTTTTTCTTTTCTTTTTTTTTTTTTTTGAGACTGAGTGTGCCAGGCTATAGAGCAGTGGTGTGATCTCAGCTCACTGCAACCTCCGCCTCCAGGTTTCAAGCAATTCTCCTGCCTCAGTCTTCCGAGTAGCTGGGATTACAGGCGCCCACCACTACGCCGGGCTGATTTTTGTATTTTTAGTAGAGATGGTGTTTCACCATGTGCCAGGATGGTCTCGAACTTCTGACCTCGTGATCCGCCCCATTCAGCCTCCCAGAGTGCTGGAATTACAGGTGTGAGCCACCTTGCCCAGACCATCTTTTTTCTTTTCTTTTCTTTTTTTGAGACGGAGTCTCTCTCTGTCACCCAGGCTGGAGTGCAGTGGCATGATCTCAGCTGACTGCAGCTTCTGCCTTCTGGGTTCAGGCAATTAGCTCTGTCCAGTAGAACTTTCTATAGTGATGAAAATGTTCTGTGTCTGTGTTGTCTAGTACATGGGGCTAGAGCAACTGTGGGACTGAGTGTTTATTTTCATTTAATTTAAATTTATCTAAATCTAACTTAAATAGGCCGGGCGTGGTGGCTCACACCTGTAATCCCAGCACTTTGGGAGGCTGAAGCGGGTAGATCACCTGAGCTCAGGAGTTCAATACCAGCCTTGCAGCATGGTGAAACCTCATCTCTACTAATACACAAAAAAAAAAAAATCAGCTGGGCATGATGGCAGGTACCTGTAGTCCCAGCTACTCAGGAGGCCAAGGCATGAGAATTGCTTGAACCCAGGCAGTAGAGGTTGCAGTGAGCCAAGATAGTGCCAGTGCACTCCAGCCTGGGCAACAAAGTGAAACTCTGTCTCAAAAAAAAAAAGAAAAGAAAATTTAACTTAAATAGCCACCTGTCGCTAGCAGCTCCTGTATTGAATATCATAACCAAAAAAAAAAAAAAAAAAGAATATCATAACCTAAAAGCCTTAAAAATTCACAGCAGGGGTCGGGTGCAGTGGCTCACACCTGTAACCCCAGTACTTTGGGAGGCTGAGGCAGGCAGATCACGAGGTCAAGAGATGGAGACCATCCTGGCCAACATGGTGAAACCCCCTCTCTACTAAAAATACAAAAATTAGCTGGGCATGATGGCAGATGCCTGTAGTCCCAGCTACTTGGGAGGCCGAGGAAGGAGAATTGCTTGAACCTGGGAAGGGGAGGTTGCAGTGAGCCAAGATCACGCCACTACACTCCAGCCTGGCGACATAGTGAGATCCCATCTCAAAACAAAGAAAATTCACAGCAGGAAAGAATGCTGCAGTGACAGGGGGCTGTGTCCATAATACATTACTGAGTAAAAAAAAGATCACAAAACAGTATGCTAGTACAATGCCATTTTTGTTAGAAAAAAATATATGGAGATTGAGTCTCATACAGAAAACATATGTATATTTATATATATGGAGAGAGATTAGTCAGTATGTACATAAAAGAAAAAAGTGTTAATAGCAGTTATCCAAGGTTTTTATTTTTCTGTATTTTCCAAGTTTGCCAGCTCCTCTGGACCACTGCCTAGGCGGAGGCGCATGGCTGGGCCCTGTGGCTGGGCCTGTACCCCTCCTGCAGGTCTGGGGCCTTAGCCCTTGGGTATGGCTCCGATCCTGGCCCACCAACTGTCCCCTTGACCCATTTCCTCACGTATCACACCAGATCCCCAGGCTGAGGAGGTGGGTCAGTGGCCCACGTGCTCTTCTCACCCCACAGCTCTGTCCTGTTCCCGTATGAGAGGCAGCTTAACTTGGATGGCAGCATGCAGCACTTGGAGGATGGAGACGGCAAAAGAAAGAGGAGCAGCTCCAGCCCTCGGTACAGCCCACATCAGGGGCACGCCCCAGGGAGTGCTGGTGTCTGGGACCTTGGAAAATGCACAGGCTTTTCTAAGAACTAGGCTTGGGCAGCTCCCGTGCAGGCCCAGGAAGACACTAGGGGACCTGTCTTCAGCTCCCATGGGACATGTGCACCACAGCACCCAGGGCAAATGTGTTGCTTTTCCCCCACGTCCCTCAGGTCCATCAATAAGAAGGCCAAGGCCCTGGAGAACTCCCTGCAACCTGAGAGTCTGGCAGCCTCCAGCCCACCTCCCTCCAGCCAGCCCAGCCAATGCCCAGAGGAGAAACCCCAGGAGTCAAGCGCCATGAAGGGCCCAGGGGGCCCTTTTCAGCTTCCGGGGTCCCTGGGGCCCAGCCCTGGCCTGGCCAGGGAGGGTGTGGGGTGCAGCTGGGAGAATGGCAGAGCTGAGAGAGGTGTCACAGGGGCTGGCAAGCCACGCTGGAACTTCGAGCAGATCTCCTTCCCCAACATGGCTTCAGACAGCCGCCACACCCTCCTGTGCGCCCCAGCCCCAGAGCTGCTCCCAGCCAATGTGGCTGGGCGGGAGACAGATGCAGAGTCCTGGTGCCAGAAGCTGAACCAGCGCAAGGAGAAGCTCTCCAGACGGGAACGGGACCACCATGTGGAGGCCGCGCGCTTCCGGGAGGATGTCAATGCCGATCCCGAGGTGCAGCGGTGCTCTAGCTGGCGAGAGTACAAGGAGCTGTTGCAGCGACGGCAGCTGCAGAGGGGCCAGAGCCAGGCCCCTCACCTGTGGGGCCAGCCCGTCACCCCTCTGCTGAGTCCAGGCCAGGCCAGCTCCCCAGGTACCCCCTCAGCCTGCCACATCCTCGAGGGCCACTGGCAGCTGAGGAATCACAGGATTTTGGAAGGGGCACAGATGAACTGGGACAGATTGAGGCTTAAAAAAGATGTGGGAGGAGGGAGTGGACCCACAAGGGAGGTCTGTTCTCCCAGGGAGCAGCAGGGCCTGTGTGGGAAAGCTTAGAGATGGTGAGTCAGAAGAGGTAACGAGGGGTGGGAACTATGACCATATCCTTAAAATCATAACATGCATGTGGATGGCTTGGCCACCATCTAGCTGTGATCCTAACCTGTTAGATGGAAAAAGGAGGTGCCTTCTTGGCCAAGTGAAAGAAAGGCTTGCTGTCTGCTCTAAGCACAGGGAACCAATGAGGAAAGAATAAGCTAATGTATTAATAGATTCCAAACTACTTAAAGCTTTCATGGGAACATGGTAGATTGTAGATAACTAGATAGGATTGCCAGATCAGTTCAATTTGACTTTCAGATAAACAAGTAGTTTTTTAGTATAAGGATGTTCCAAAACTTGCATGGGATATGCTTGCACTAAAGAAATGTTGCTAGGCCAAGCGCCGTGGCTCATGTCTGTAATTCCAGCACTTTGGGAGGCTGAGGTGGGGAGATCACCTGAGGTTAGGAGTTCGAGACCAACCTGGCCAACATGGTGAAACCCTGTCTCTACTAAAAGTACAAAAATTAGCTGGGCATGGTAGTACACACCTGTAATCCCAGCTACTTGGGAAGCTGAGGCCGAGACAGGAGAATTGCTTGAACTCAGGAGGCAGAGGTCACAGTGAGCTGACATCACGGCTCTGCAAGACTCCATCTCCAAAAAAAAAAAAAAGTTGCTAAATCTGGCAGTCCTAAACTAGATGGTAGACTGAGAAGTGTGACTCCCTCCCCAGTACCTTGTTTTCTCTGTCCTTGTAGCCATGGTCCTTCAGCATATCTCTGTGCTGCAGACCACACACCTTGCTGATGGAGGTGCCTGGTAAGTTTCCAAGCAGTGATGTCTCCACAGTACCTTGGCCACCAGGAGTTGGTGGTTAGGATTTGGCTCCTGAAATAGAGTGTGAGCTAGAGGACTGTTCTAGGGACCTCTACCCTCATGCCTAGCTCTGAGCCATAACTAACGTTCCTGTGTGTCTAGGGAAGAGGGAGAAATAACCAGTGGGTTAGCCCAAGGGTTCAGAGCCCCTCACCCTCAAGTGGCACCTCTGTGAGGCTGCTTCCAGGAACTAGTGGTGGGAAAGGGTGGGGTGGAAAAGAAAGGTTGGGAAGAAGAGTTCATGTTCTAACATTTCTCACTGTATTGTCAGGCTGCTGGAGAAGTCCGGGGGCTTGGAAATTAGCTTTGATGTTTACCAGGCCGACGCTGTGGCCACATTCCGAAAGAATAACCCTGGCAAACCCTATGCCCGGATGTGCATTAGCGGGTATGCAGTGAGCCAGCATTGCCCCTCCCCCAGCTGGTGCCAGTTCTCCTGTGAACCCAGTGGGACTCTGCCCTCCCCTGGCCAATGTGCCAATCTCTGAGAAGAACCTGAGGTCCAGAGAGGTTAAGCAACCCACACAAGGCCACACAGCCAGTTTGTGCTGCCCTCCTCTGAGCACCTCATTGCTGGCATTTTAGGGTAGTCTCTCACCAGTGCCATTTTAGTCTAGGGCTCACCCAGCAGAAGAGATGTGGATTGGGGGCATTTACAGGCTGAAAGTGGTGGGCACCTTGCTCTTAGCACCTCCCCAACCAGGGCTCTAGGGCTTTCTTCATCAGAGCCCTACCTTTTGCAGACAGAAGAGATCCTGGGCCAGAATTCTTGCACCCCAGCTCCTGCCTTAGAATCTCCCTTCTCTGAGAGCCATAGAGCTTAGAAGTGGGCTATCGCTGGGTCTGACTCTAACCCTTTGTCCCTGCAGATTTGATGAGCCTGTCCCAGACCTCTGCAGCCTCAAGCGGTTGTCTTACCAGAGTGGGGATGTCCCTCTGATCTTTGCCCTGGTGGATCATGGTGACATCTCCTTCTACAGCTTCAGGGACTTCACGTTGCCCCAGGATGTGGAGCACTGACCTCACAACCCTGCAGGGGATGGAGCTTGCCCCAGGGGACCGAGACTGTTTGTTCTCAGGGACCATCTCGGCTGCCTCCTGCACCCAGACTCTAACCTGTAGCTTCAGGGGCCAGTCTGAGCCTTGGCCCTGGGTGTCTGATACGAAGAGTGAAACTGTGACCCTCTCCCCTTGCCTGCTGCCTTGCAGAGACCACCCTGGAACTCAGGATTAGATTTTAAGGACCCAGGAGGTGAGGCAAAAGAGAGGACTCTGTGCCTTTAACGTGAGCGTGCCTGCTTCCGTGCCATAAAGCCAAAGCCATTAAAAACAAATCTCTTTTATGCTGTTTCTTTATATAGTAGGTAAACCCCTCTGGCCCCAGCCCCTCACACCTGCTTTATCCACTCCAGGAGATCCCCTTCCTCTGGTGCGGGATCTAAGAGTGAGGGAAGCCCGCGGGAGGGCAGGAACGCGGCCTCGAACCTTTTGAGCCTTTCCCGGAGGGGATGGGACATCACAGGGCTCCTGGAGGGAGGAGGGCGCGCCCCACTGTCCTTCCCTGAGCGCAGCGGGGTGCGGGTGGCGAAAGGCGCCACCTGCAGCTGGGCGGTGGAGCCCGCTGCAGCTCGGGCCTCCGCGCCCTTTCCGCTCCCGCCTCGTCGCTCCAACGCCCTCCCTCGCTTGTGCTAAAAACTCCAGCCGCTGTTGCAGACCCTCGGGCCAACACGGAGGCGGTGGGGCCCCCGCCCCCGAATAAAGGCGTCTCGTCGAGACGCCCCGGTTCCCACACCACCCCTGTCGAGGGGCTGGAAGCCCGGTCCTTCGTCCCCCAAGTCACCCTCTCTGGGCCGGGCGCTCGCAGAGGAGCTGGCCCAGCTCCGCCCTTCCCTCGGCAGCTCCGGGGAGTTGGAGGGACGGCTCCTCTGGAGTCTGGGAGGCGGCCTGGGGCCGCGGGGGTTCCGGGAACTATTTCCGCCTGCAGGAGGCGGCAGAACTCTGGGCGCAGCGCGTGGTCCTGCGTCCAGGTGCGCGCAGGTGAGGCAGGGGCGAGCCCGCGGAGCCCCGAGCCTGTTCTCGAGGCCCCGCCTTGCGCTCCCCAGGACCTCGGATTGGCTGGAGCGCGGTCCTCGCCCCCGAGGGCGTCCCCGCCCCATCGGCGCCGAGCTGGGAGGCGTTCCGGGCCGGGGGCGGGGCCCTGGGGCCCGGCCGGCTCGCCCTTTATATAAATAGCGCGGCCCCGCCCCGGGCTCGCCGCGCCGGAGGTGAGCAGGAAGGAGACGGCCGCCCAGCAGCTGGTGGGCCGGCGCGGCAGAGTGAGCGGGGCCGGTGGCGGGCGCCGAGGGACGCCGAGGCCTCGCGCGGGGGCCGGGCCAGGGTTCCAGGTGAGGTGCGCGCCGGACTCGCCCAGCCGGTCCCGCCCCCTTGGGGCGCCCACCCGGGGCGAGGAGGCCGGGAGGGCGGGGAGGGCCGGGACCCCTGGGCCGACCGGCCGGGGCGGGAGGGCTGCGCTCAGGTCCACGCGCCTCGCCCCTGTCCGCGTCGCTGGGCTTGCCTGGGAGAAACACCTGTGGAAAGTTCTGCGAGGAACTTCTCTCTGCCTGATCCGCGCGATGACTGAAACCTGGGCTTGGGTTTGCACAACAGTGTTGGCTTAGGGGAGCTGGGGAACAGGTGCCCGGCACGGCTGGGTCCTGGGGGCACCGCGGGCGGAGACGGAGTCGCCGGGCCCACATGCAGGCAACAGGCCAGCGAGGCCGGCGACCATACATCTGCGGTGACCCCCTCCCCACGGGCGGCGGCCGGAGCGCTGTGCCCCGGCGGCTTAGCCCCTGCCCCTGCCATCTGGGCTGTGTCCCTGACGGCCCTTTGTGCCTCCTAATCCCCGGACGCAGGAAGCCCGCGGGAGGGACTTCGGTCTCGGGCCTTTCTCCAACCGGGGCGGCTTTGGACACCCTCACACGACGGTGCGGAGACCCAGTCTGCCTTCCATGCTGAAAGGTGGGGTTTGCGCTGTGGGATTTGGTGAGAAGTGGAAAATTCTGTCTTGCCAAAGAAAGTGTGTCTTAGTTTGCTCCAGCTGGACGACTGGTGGACACACTGGGCCTTGGCTGTGGGGAGAACTGACGATAACCAGGGGAGCTGCAGAGTGGCCCTTTGAGGTCTCACCTGAACAGGTGAGCTTTGAGTGAGGAGGACGCCCCTTCCCCTAGGGATCTGTAAGCGGCTGCTGAAGGCCTTAACCTGGGCTCCAGGGACTCCACGCAGGAGTTTGTAACTCAAGAGAACCTTGAGTTCTCTTGAAGGGGCCGCAGAGGGGATTCTGAGCAGGGAGGAATGGGTATGCCAAAGTGACAAGAAAACCCTGGTAGGAAGAGCAGCGCTGCCAAGGAAGAGCTGTGGCCCAACCCCGGGGAAGCCAGGGTTAGAAGTGGCATTTGAGGCTGGGTGCAGTGGCTCACAGCTGTAATCCCAGCAATTTGGGAAGCCGAGGCCAGGAGGATCACCTGAGCCCAAGAGTTTGAGACTAGCCTGGGCAACATAGTACGACCTTGTCTCTTTAATAACAAAAGTTAGCCAGGCTTGGTGGTGTGCACCTGAGGTTTCAGTTACTCAGGAGCCTGAGGTGGGAGAATTGCCTGAGCCCAGGAGGTGGAGGTTGCAGTGACTCTTGATGGCGCCACCATAATCCAGCCTGGGGACAACGTGAGACCCTGTCTGTCTGTCTGTCTGTCTGTCTGTCTCTCTCTCTCTCTCTCTCACACACACACACACACACACATACACACACAAAGTGGCATTTGAGGAACACTATCTGGGTCTGTGTGAGCAGAGGCACACAAGGAGAATTGTGGGAGAGATGTCTCAACTTTTTTATTTTATGAACTGGGATTTGGGGTTTAGTTTTCTTAGGTGATCTTCCCACAGTGCTAGCTGTGGCAGTCAGGACTCAAACTCAGCTCCTGGGATTCTAATCAGAGTTTACTCCTTTACTTTGATGTTAGACTGGGCCTGTTTTTGTGGGGGCCCCTGGACAGGGTTTCAGGGCTCCGGAGTCATTCAGCATCCCCATTCTTCCTTGAGGCAATGCAGTTTCCCCTTTGGTGTCAGATTAATATACTTTTAATTATATTAAAATGACACTACATTCATAAAAATAAAATAGAAAAAAAGTAATTTTTTTCTTTTCTTTTTTGAGACGGAGTTTCGCTCTTGTTACCCAGGCTGGAGTGCAATGGCGCCATCTCGGCTCACCGCAACCTCCGCCTCCTGGGTTCAGGCAGTTCTCCTGCCTCAGCCTCCTGAGTAGCTGGGATTACAGGCACGCGCCACCATGCCCAGCTAATTTTTTGTGTTTTTAGTAGAGACGGGGTTTCACCATGTTGACCAGGATGGTCTCGATCTGTTGACCTCGTGATCCACCCGCCTCGGCCTCCCAAAGTGCTGGGATTACAGGCTTGAGCCACCGCGCCCGGCTCTTTCTTTTTTTTTAAACTAAGTTGGCCAAACTTTTTTTTCTTTTTAATAATATATTTTTTAATTTATAGAGATGGGATCTCACTATGTTGCTTAGGCTGATCTCAAACTCCTGGACTTAAGTGATCGTCCCACTTCAGCCTCCCAAAGTGTTGGGATTACAGGCATGAGCCACTGTGCCCAGCTGTTAGTAACTTTTTTTTTTCTTTTTTTGAGACAGGGTCTTGCTCTGTCACTCAGGCTGGAGTTCAGTGGTGCAATCACTGGAAGATGGAGGCTTAGTGTAGCCTCGACCTCCTGGGCTCAAGTGATCCTCCCACCTCAGCCTTCCTAGTAACTGGGACTACAAGTGGGCAGCCCCACGCACAGCTGATTTTTGTATTTTTTGTAGAAAGGGAGTTTTGCCATGTTGCCCAGGCTAGTCTCGAACTCCGAAGCTCAAGCGATCCTCCTGCCTCCCAAAGTGTTGGGATTATAGGTGTGAACCCCCATGCCAGACCTGTTAGTATAAATAACTTTAAAATATGCCACAATATTAAAAGGAAAAAAAAAACAGCCCATAATCTCAGGTGATTGCTGTTCATTTAAAGATAGAAAAGGCAATAGAAGCCCACAGTGGGAAAGAGGAAACATTTAGAAGGTGTAAAATTAGAGCAAAAAATTATCCCTCCTGCCAGACAGTCCTTTTCTTCTTTTTTTCTTTTGAAAGGAAGGGAAGTCTCCTCTGTCACCAAGGCTGGAGTGCAGTGGCGCAATCTCGGCTCACTACAGCCTCCGCCTCGCAGGTTCAAGCAATTCTCCTGCCTCAGCCTCCCTAGTAGCTGGGATTGCAGATAGGCGTCACCACGCCCAGCTAGTTTTTGTATTTGTAGTAGAGACTGGGTTTCACTATATTGGCCTGGCTGGTCTGGAACTCCTGACTTTAGGTGATCTGTCTGCCTCGGCCTCCTACATGAGCCACCACGCCCGGCCCCTGACAGTCCTTTATCTTCATCTTTCATCTTTCTGTCCTTCATCTCTCTAAAAACAAAAATTTTTTTAAAAATTAAAAAAAAAAAGGGGGGTGCGGTGGCTCACACCTGTAATCCCAGCACTTTGGAAGGCTGAGATCGAGACCATCCTGGCCAACATGGTGAAACCCATTAGCCGGACGTGGTGGCACATACCTGTAATCCCAGCTACTTGGGAAGCTGAGGCAAGAGAATCACCTGAACCCAGGAGGCGGAGGTTTCAGTGAGCCGAGAATGCGCCATTGCACTCCAGCCTGGGCAACAAGAGTTAAACTCCGTCTCAAAAAAAAAAAATAAAATAAAAAGATTTTTAGTGTCTTTCCAGGCATCAGGTGTAGTTTTGACTTATTCCTTGCTGAGTTCTTGCTGTGTGACCTTAGTGTGGTCACTGGCCCATGCTGAGCTTTAATGAGATGCGAGTATGAGAAAGGTCACCAGCACGTGTAGTCTGCCACACAGCAGGCACCCAGTGAGGGTGGACTCAGCTTCCGTGAAACATAAGAAGCATCGGTCACTCCAGGGCCTTTGGGTGGGCACTTGGGCTTATTGGAAATGCCTGATGGGTCTAGAGAATTTGTCTTTTCTGGAAATCAGCTGACAGCTCATGAATTTGTGGTATTTTAAAGTCTCTGGCTGGGCATTTTGGCTATGCCTGTAATTCCAGTGCTTTGGGAGGCTGAGGAGGGGGGATTGCTTGAGCCCAGAAGTTCAAGACCAGCCTAGGCAACGGTGAGATTGTGTCTCTACAAAAAAAATTTTTTTTTAATTAGCTGGGCATAGTGGTGTGCACCTGTTGTCCCAGCTACATGGGAGGCTTAAGCAGGAGGATCACTTGAGCCCAAGAGTTTAAGGCTGC